AGCTCTAAATTTATCCTAAGGCTTTTGATAAGGATTCTATGAAGTACTGTTCATTTCCTGGAAAAAAAGTTGCTATCGAAAAGTAGGGCCATTTAATCAAAGCATTACAGATAATAATAAATATGCTATCGTGGTGATTTTGCATAACTTTGACAACATTTATAGGTTTTGATTTTCCACTGAGGATGGACTTGCTGTTCATGGGACTGATTGGGATAAATTGGCAGTGGGGACTTTCGCTGAACTGTTAACACTTGCACAGATTTTGAATGGGCCAGTCTGTTGATAAGATACTGGAAGGGTCTCCCACCTGCAGGAGCGTAAACTATGAAAAGTGTGGGTTTAAAGACTTTTACTTTGGTGCTGTCCGGTTAGGCTTATTAAGTGCCTTTTCCCATCATGTTTCCAGACCTAACCTCATCCCAGTGTCAATTGTGTATCTTAACTCTTTATATAGCTGCCTTTGCTTTAGCAGGTGGGTTAATTACTAATATTTGTTAAACAAAGAGTAGTCACTTTCAATAGATTCTTGCATTGTAATATGGGTCATAAAAACAGCACCACTGCCGCCCCTGCTAAAAAAAAAATCCCAAACAAACCAGTCATTACAACTCCAAGGGTATTAACTGACCGGAACAGAATTTGCTCTTTTGGATCAAGAGCCATATTAATTCAATTGGCAGGCACTCAATCAGCTCTCACAGTAATGACAGACCAAGGTATCTTGCAAATGCTAATGTAGTTCATTACATGATGCTTTCCTTTTGACTCATTATGAGTGTCTAGTATTGACAGAAGTGCGTAACTTGATTCATAACTGTAAGATGAAGCACATAATAAGCCAGTGTCTTTATGATTGGAACATTAGAGGGCTAGGTGAGCCTACCTATTTAGAGATCCTGCGATTCGTCAACTAGTATGCCTAATGAATCCTTGCAGCTATTGCTTCCAGAAAGTACTGCCCTTAAAAAAGAAAAATCTCTAGAACATTGTTCATCTTTGTTAAAAAGTCGGTTGTTTGATAAATATTAATTGAGCTGCTAATGTGTACTATTTAACACAGGTGAAGAAACTAAATCCAGCCCCTACTTTTAGTCCCTTGCATTCTAGTTAATCTCTCAAGAAAAAAGAAATAGAGATATCTTAATTGATAACCACACTTAAATAACAATTTTATGCCATTAAATCAATTGAAATGAAATATCATTTGATTGTCAACTCTGTGAGGATAAGAATACTGTCTGAATTTATTTGTGTCTAAAGCATACAGCACATGATAGTCACATAGTAGGCATTCAGTAATGGCATGTTGGACAAATAAGTACTTCAACAGGTTGGGAGGTCGTAAATGAGTTTTTAAAATCATAAAACACTAAAAATGAAGATATTCCTTCATGGTAATTACACAATTGCTTAATGGTCAGCCCCCCTATTTAAAATATTCTGTCGATCTGGATGTTGGATAAAACATCTACACTAACAATTTGAGCAAATGTTCTGAAGTCAGTTAGCTGGAGTTTACTTGTCAGATACAATCTTTGGACTGGTGTTTCTTTAACAGTGTTTGATTTTTAATGATTATCTGCTGGTTTATTCCCCTTCAAGTAACTATTAGAATACCTACTCTCATGAAATAATATAAAACAATTGTAGGAGCATGTAATAATACGAAGCTTATTGAAAAATCCTGTTCTTAAAAAAATTCAGTAACGTCACTATCCAGTAAGAATACCAACATTTCAAAAGTTTTTGGTGACTTCATTTTATTATTCATTTCCAAGGTTTCTTTAAAAATATTAATTAGAGAGACAAAAAGCACAGGCTGCCTGTGATTACAATCTCCTTCAGGTAACTGCAGGCAAATTTAAGTCAGATGGTGGTAGTGGAGTACCACTCTGCCTTTCTTTGGACCACTATTATGCACACCAAATTCTCTTTTTATGTGTATACACACACACACACACACACACACACACACACACACACACTATGTTTTTGGCTCAGAAGAAGAGTGAACTGGAGGTTATTTAACACCATAGATGCTGCTTTGTTCTGCACTTGTTTATGTTTTCACCAAAAAAGATTCTAGAAAGGGATGATGTCTTCCCTGAATTCTCACATTACTGCCAGCATCTTTAGTCCCTCAAGTGGTCTCCTTTCTCCTTCCCACCCTTCCCCTTTACTCCTTCCGGCCCAGTCTAAGAGCTTCTGCTTAATCATATTAAAATGATTTGTGGTTGTTTTCAAACCTGAGAGATAATTAGGAACACAGACGCTGTTTATATTGGGTATATCTCTTTCACTCCAGTCATACCTTTCTCAGAGGAATTTTTATTTTAAGGAGAAAACAATCACAACAGCAAACAACACAACAAAACCAGAGGTAAAACAGAAAGACCCTTCCAGAACAACACAAATTTACAGATGCTTCAATTTTTCTTTGAGCATGTTTGTTCTGAAAGACTGACTCTTGGACCTAGTCGATTTTCAAATTCCCTGGGTCACATTTTAGTGAGGGGAAGCGAAAAATGGACAGAAAGAAAAACAGAGGAGAAATACTTCTTACTTGGATTCAGTTGTTTCCATTCCCCACCGGAAGGTCACTTACATTACTTCATACCCTACGCAAATACTGTATTATGAGTGGTGGGTCTTCTTTCTGAAGGCTTCTCTTTAGGAACAATTTTTGTGATGTCCTGAATGTTTTTCTTGTCTCAATGTCTTCCTTCTCAGCATGTATTTTGTTCAGTATGTTCAGTGACTTCTACAACTTTTAAATACATTCTCAGAAGTTTGGAATGTTTATACCATGCAGTTGCAAAACACTTTATCTTTCAAATTGCTCTCACATATTTAAATACAAATCTACCTGGGAATCTAAATGCTGTAGTGAAGGGCATTTACTTTTAATTGAAAATGAATCTGACTTTTCATTCAGTGGTTACCATTTCCCCTTTATTCTTGGCAGGTTTTTTTCTTCTCCTTCTTTATTTTCTTTCTCTCATTGCACATGTTGATCCTTTTGAAAAATGAGTGTTTGCCAAACACCCTGAGTTGGAAGGGAAGGTGGGGGGAGGGTAGATACTAAAAATTCTAACTAAGAATACTGGCAACTGATTTCCAAATCAGAGGTAGGCTATATTCCTGGCTAAATAATTAAATTATAATTACACTGATTGATATTATAAATCATGCTTCGAGAAAATGAGTTTTTTGAGGTTTGTGACACTTAGATCATTTTTGTTTTTCACTTGTATTTAGAAAAAACATTCAGAACATGTGGAAGATAATAGGAGTTATTTCTTCCTCTAATGTGGCCAATTTTTACTTGCCACTCTATGTTGTGCTCTAGAGACATGAAACAAATTCATAACCTTTATAATTTATTTTAATATGTAAAGAAACTTTATCTGGCATATGTCTTCTAAATGCAGAGGCTTTTGGTGTCAAAGTACTTGATTTGAATCTGCACCAATGCCCCCAAAATTCTCAGTTTGGTTTGAATATGAAGTAGACAATTTCAAGAATTTTAATGGTTTAAACCATTTCTTATTGAAGTGATATTCCTTCACTTCTGACCTAATGCTACTGCTATCCACGTGTTATCTGTTTTTTAGAGGTTTTCCATGCCTGTTGTAATTGGGTCTCCTACTGTGGCATCCCACATGGTTGTTAATAAAGAATTTTCAGTAGAGCAAATATTTAACAGTGTCTTCCAGTTGTAGTACAGCGAGTTAATATAAGAAAAATGATGCATACAGTCTAAGATTCTGCAAGCTCTTTCACTGTCTTGCCCTCACCAATAAACTGAAGACTTGTGAGAAATAATGGCTTTGCTTTAGACACTCAGAGGAAATATTTAAAAAGGAATTACACAAGAAACCAGGTGCCTCTGGGTAAAGGAAAAACATTAAAATTTCATAATAGTTCTAGAATTTGCTCGATAAATCTATGCTGGTATCAGAATAATATCCCAGACAATGAAAGTACTGTGAACCCTAAGGTTAAGTGAGAGCTTGTAAGGAAAATTATAGCTGCACCAAACATTGTAGACTTCCAAATTTTAAAGGCATTAAACATTAAGGATAAACACGTACTTTGCTCATTTCCGCAGATTAAATATGGTATTTTGGAAAGGTGTGCACTTTCCCCATTATACCCATCAAATTTTAAAATCACAAATTTCAATCTGTATGTACTCATGAATATTTGACTTGTGTTTATTTGCATGGGTTAAAACAAATCAAAGTACTGAGTACAACTTATGGGAAATATCTAATTTGTAAGTCTGTTTATATTGTAACTGAAATGACTTAAAAATTAAGAATCATGACACTACATCTTAGGGTATTTGTATTTCAAGTGTACTGACCTAAGAGAAGTATGCATATACTTTTCTGCTTAAAATTTTGGTATTTAAAGACCATTAAAGCTGGGCTATCTAATTACCATTATTGAATTATTATAACTGCTGTTTTGGGATCTAGAATGTACTTACTGGTGATTAATTTTCTACTGTGTTTTATTCTAAAAAGATCTGGCTGTCACTAAGAAACAACAAATTAACTGCAATTTATGACTCTTACTTTTATTTCTTAAGAAATAAACTTTAATAACTTACAAAAACTAGAAAAAAGCCTCAGATACAGAACTGAGACATATCCTGTTAATTTAGCCACAAACCTGAGACTTAATATAGAAGTGTATTAAATGTGTACTAAATGTGTACTAAATGTGTACTAAATGTGTACTACTAAAAGAAAGATCTAAAGGAGTGCTATGTAAAACTGGTGGCAAAATTTTCAGTCTGCTGCTTGAAAACTGGCTTTTTTGCCCCCTAGAACTTACATGCCCCCCACATCACTGTGCTCTCTTAGATACATGGCTATAAAATTGTGAAAATGGAGGCTTTTCTGGTCGCAGAAGGGTTAAGTGCTTTTTGCTTTACCAGTTTCAAATTACAATGAGAAGCCTCTTCTTTCCCAGCAGGGTTGTGCTTACATTACTCTTTAGATCTCCCTTGAAGAGGGCTGGTATATTTGTGCCTGCTGGAGGTGGAATTAACAGTAAGAAGGAGAAAGGGATTGAATGGACTTACAGGAAGGTTTTCAAGGAAATTCAGGGAAACACATTTACTTGAATAGTACAACCTTGAGTCTTATTTTATACCAAGACGACACAAAAGATGTTAAAGTTATCACCAAGCTGCCGGACAAATATATATCCCAACACCAAGGTGCAGATGAGCATAGATCTGTGATTCAGAAGTCAGGATCTGTCTTGGAAAGAACTCAAGGGTTGAGAAGAACTCAAGAACAAGTGAAGATAACTTTGGAAATACAGTTCATCAGAAGATCAACTCTCCTTAATTCAAATACCAAAGGCCTGATTATCATAAATTCTTATAGGAATGCATAGGTCATCTGATCAAATCATACTAGCCGTCTTCTACACCAATGCAGCAAAAACTCTTAACAACTGTGGATAATTGGAAATCTGAGTTTCAGCTTTCTTAGGAATAACTACTCTTGACATATTCCAAAATATTTAAAATAAGGCAGGAAAGTCAGTGAAGATGTTGTGTCCAGAGATGTCACTGTCATGAAGAATAGGTAAATTTGTTTTTTCAGCTACTGGGAAAGTGTATCTCCTAGGAACTTTTTTTTTTTTTTTTTTTTAAAGGAGAACAAGAAGGACTAAAAATACCAACTTTTGCTTTTGGACAAAAATGCATCTGACTGTATTTTTACTTAGGGGTATTGTGGGTTTCCTCTGGAGCTGCTGGGTTCTAATGGGTTGTGCGAAAGGAGGTCTGGGAGACAATCATGTTCACTCCAGTTTTATTTATAGAAGACTACGGAACCACGAAAGACGGGAAATACAGAGGGAAATTCTCTCTATCTTAGGTTTGCCTCACAGACCCAGACCATTTTCACCTGGAAAACAAGCTTCCTCTGCACCTCTCTTTATGCTGGACCTGTACAATGCTATGGCCAACGGAGAAAATCCCGAGGAGCTGGAATACTCAGTGAGGGCTTCCCTGTCAGGGGAGACCAGAACAGCAAGGAAGGGGTACCCAGCCTCTCCCAATGGGTATCCCCGTCGCATCCAGTTATCTCGAGCAGCTCCCCTGACCACGCAGAGCCCCCCTCTAGCCAGCCTACACGATACCAACTTCCTGAATGATGCTGACATGGTCATGAGCTTTGTCAATTTAGGTATGTTGTTTGTTTATTTGTTAATCTATGTTATTACAAAGTGGAAGTTTTCCTAATAGTAAAGTAGCTGCCTGGTAGGTGGTCATGTTTACATAAAGTCATTTTCTATAACTCTCCTCTCCAGCTTCTGTTTTTCTCCTTTCACTGATGCAGTGTTAAGATTTTGTCTGAGCAACAAAGTTATACACACACACACACACACACACACACACACATGCATGTATATATACATAAAATATTTTTAATATAAAAAGCTAAAATTAAACACAGTTTGGGTAGATTTTTTTTATTTTTCAGACCTTGTTGAAATTTCAGCCTTGCTTAAATGTATGGATAAACAGGCAGTCTGAAAAAAAGCGAATTTATGAGGATAGCTAAGCTATGGGCAATAATGATAATAAAAAATAATAATAATACAGAAATAAGCCTTTACAGATGGAAAAGTAGAAGTGCCATTCTGAACCATATTTTTGTTAAGTATATGTTTATGTGCCACTTAAAACCACTTAAAAACCCTCATTTAAGGGAGACAACTACTGTGAAAATATTGATGTGAAATTAACGAAGATCAAATAATATTGTAAAAGATTAGTAGCAAAGATGGTCAGGGAGAGATTTTGAAATTCTGTGAAAAATATTTTGGAACAGAAGTTTCAATCTAACATTTCTTAACTAATGATGAAGATATATCATACCTATTTGATTTTTTTCAGAAGCAAAGTAAATGTAAAACATGTTATTGCAATCTTTACCTATACAAAATTTTCCTTTTTATATTTAAAGCAACAATTACTTGAAAAGTTCTCTATTTAGCATTAAGTAACTTTAAAAATATGCTTTGCTCAATGCTGGTATTTTCATCATAGTTTTTAAATACTGATAATATCCAGTGGAAAATTTGTTCCTAATAGTTCATCTCACAATAATATTAAAGAGTTACCAATTTAAAATATTTTACAAGGGCTTTAATTTTCTTTAAATAGTTAATAGAGACTGAAATAAAAATTTACTACCTTGAGACATTCAAAAAATAGCAATATATTTATTTTAAGACAAACTTTTTTCAACAAATTTAATCACTTTGAAAGATGGAGAACATTTTAATATAGGTATTTTTAAAACCTGAAAAAATGCAACTGCTTTGACTTAAAATTGACGTTTTATTACATACTTAATTAAAACTTCCTCATATACTAACTCAAAATACCATTGAAAAGTCAGATAGCAAAAAGTCCTAAAAACACATGAATGCTTCTATAACATGTGTTGCTTAATATGCTCTGCTCATTTGCTCTTAAGCAATCTTAGCATGAAGGATAAGGTGCTTAATAAATCATGTTTCATGTTACTAGAGACAAAGCTTTCATTATTAAATTTTAGTACGTCATCATTGGTTGCCCTAATCAGGTGTCATGGATGCCTTTTTATCTGCATATAATTAAGAGGTTTCAGCTGGAACTTTCAAGCCATTAAAATACAGCATAATTCTCAATTACTTTAATACCTTTTTCCTACTATAAGTGGCATGCAAATGTGATGCACAGTGTATTTTTCTTTGTAGCAATTTCTAAAGCATTATTCAATAATTTAAAGTAGTTTCAATATTTTAATAGAAAAATTCCAATCTAGCATGATTTACACGTTCATAAAGTGAATCACTGAAAAAATTCAGTTCAGGTCACCTAAAAACAGACAGGGAAGAATGTGTTATGTACTATAAAAAAACAACAGCTCAATATGAATGTGTCCTAATAATGCATTTATTATCATTGAATATTTTGATCATTCACAGAAGTGTATTTATTTTTTTAGAAAGGAATTAAGTATGATTTTTGAACCTGTGTGACATTACTATTTATAAATCTACATAGAATAAGAAAGTGAAAAGCAATAATAAACCATTTTATTCAGTTATTTCTAGGACCATTTTTATCATTAAAGAATACTTACATTTTTAAACCAAAGTTTTGGTTATATTGTTTGGATTGTAACAACAAAGCAGTTTATTAACTATAACATAATATATAATTATTCATTTTACCCTGGAAAAACAATATTATATATAAGCTGAAGAATATATTTTTTATCTGCCTAAACTGCTGAGTAACAATTTATCCTCTATAATAAACCATATTCTTCTCTTTATTTCATGATTCCAAACTAAATGTCACATGATGTTACTGACAAGTTGATTCTAGCAATAAGTGCATTTTTTCTCATAGTCTATGAGGAAAACTGAGCCACAATTTTTATTATTATCCTTAAACCACGTATTCTAATATATCCAAAGCTTACAACCAATCACTGCTTAGTAAAAGGCTTTAACTTCCATAGTTCTTCCATAATGAAATAGGTCAAAGCATACTTAGAAAAGGTAAAAGTGTTATGTCATTATTAACTGTGCTAAGATTTTCAGTGATTCTTAATATAACATTCATTAATAAATATTATCTGCAACTTCTTTCATGTTCTTATATGACTCAAGAGGATTTTATTTATTTTTTTAGTCTCTTAAAATATATGTATATAATGATGACTAAGAGCAAATGCTCAAATTAACAATAGGTAAGGGATTTGTATTGAGGAAGTCACCTGGATATTTAAATATGTGAAAAGAATCTGTAGACATTTCCTTAATAGTAAAGTAGCTGCCTGGTAGGTGGTCATGTTTACATAAAGTCATTTTCTATAACTCTCCTCTCCAGCTTCTGTTTTTCTCCTTTCACTGATGCAGTGTTAAGATTTTGTCTGAGCAACAAAGTTATACACACACACACACACACACACACACACACATGCATGTATATATACATAAAATATTTTTAATATAAAAAGCTAAAATTAAACACAGTTTGGGTAGATTTTTTTTATTTTTCAGACCTTGTTGAAATTTCAGCCTTGCTTAAATGTATGGATAAACAGGCAGTCTGAAAAAAAGCGAATTTATGAGGATAGCTAAGCTATGGGCAATAATGATAATAAAAAATAATAATAATACAGAAATAAGCCTTTACAGATGGAAAAGTAGAAGTGCCATTCTGAACCATATTTTTGTTAAGTATATGTTTATGTGCCACTTAAAACCACTTAAAAACCCTCATTTAAGGGAGACAACTACTGTGAAAATATTGATGTGAAATTAACGAAGATCAAATAATATTGTAAAAGATTAGTAGCAAAGATGGTCAGGGAGAGATTTTGAAATTCTGTGAAAAATATTTTGGAACAGAAGTTTCAATCTAACATTTCTTAACTAATGATGAAGATATATCATACCTATTTGATTTTTTTCAGAAGCAAAGTAAATGTAAAACATGTTATTGCAATCTTTACCTATACAAAATTTTCCTTTTTATATTTAAAGCAACAATTACTTGAAAAGTTCTCTATTTAGCATTAAGTAACTTTAAAAATATGCTTTGCTCAATGCTGGTATTTTCATCATAGTTTTTAAATACTGATAATATCCAGTGGAAAATTTGTTCCTAATAGTTCATCTCACAATAATATTAAAGAGTTACCAATTTAAAATATTTTACAAGGGCTTTAATTTTCTTTAAATAGTTAATAGAGACTGAAATAAAAATTTACTACCTTGAGACATTCAAAAAATAGCAATATATTTATTTTAAGACAAACTTTTTTCAACAAATTTAATCACTTTGAAAGATGGAGAACATTTTAATATAGGTATTTTTAAAACCTGAAAAAATGCAACTGCTTTGACTTAAAATTGACGTTTTATTACATACTTAATTAAAACTTCCTCATATACTAACTCAAAATACCATTGAAAAGTCAGATAGCAAAAAGTCCTAAAAACACATGAATGCTTCTATAACATGTGTTGCTTAATATGCTCTGCTCATTTGCTCTTAAGCAATCTTAGCATGAAGGATAAGGTGCTTAATAAATCATGTTTCATGTTACTAGAGACAAAGCTTTCATTATTAAATTTTAGTACGTCATCATTGGTTGCCCTAATCAGGTGTCATGGATGCCTTTTTATCTGCATATAATTAAGAGGTTTCAGCTGGAACTTTCAAGCCATTAAAATACAGCATAATTCTCAATTACTTTAATACCTTTTTCCTACTATAAGTGGCATGCAAATGTGATGCACAGTGTATTTTTCTTTGTAGCAATTTCTAAAGCATTATTCAATAATTTAAAGTAGTTTCAATATTTTAATAGAAAAATTCCAATCTAGCATGATTTACACGTTCATAAAGTGAATCACTGAAAAAATTCAGTTCAGGTCACCTAAAAACAGACAGGGAAGAATGTGTTATGTACTATAAAAAAACAACAGCTCAATATGAATGTGTCCTAATAATGCATTTATTATCATTGAATATTTTGATCATTCACAGAAGTGTATTTATTTTTTTAGAAAGGAATTAAGTATGATTTTTGAACCTGTGTGACATTACTATTTATAAATCTACATAGAATAAGAAAGTGAAAAGCAATAATAAACCATTTTATTCAGTTATTTCTAGGACCATTTTTATCATTAAAGAATACTTACATTTTTAAACCAAAGTTTTGGTTATATTGTTTGGATTGTAACAACAAAGCAGTTTATTAACTATAACATAATATATAATTATTCATTTTACCCTGGAAAAACAATATTATATATAAGCTGAAGAATATATTTTTTATCTGCCTAAACTGCTGAGTAACAATTTATCCTCTATAATAAACCATATTCTTCTCTTTATTTCATGATTCCAAACTAAATGTCACATGATGTTACTGACAAGTTGATTCTAGCAATAAGTGCATTTTTTCTCATAGTCTATGAGGAAAACTGAGCCACAATTTTTATTATTATCCTTAAACCACGTATTCTAATATATCCAAAGCTTACAACCAATCACTGCTTAGTAAAAGGCTTTAACTTCCATAGTTCTTCCATAATGAAATAGGTCAAAGCATACTTAGAAAAGGTAAAAGTGTTATGTCATTATTAACTGTGCTAAGATTTTCAGTGA